GCGCTCGTTCATTGGTAGAAATTCGAGTTTATAGGCACGTTTATAAGGTACCACAGAGGAAATACAAAAACCAGCATGAAAACAAGAGCTGAATGCCATGTTGCACAATTGCCGCGCGCACAACACCGCTTGCATAGTACCGCTTGCACAAGATCGCCACGTCATATCGAACTTCCTCCTTCTTCTCTTCTCTTTCTTCGATTTAACAGGCACACGTGTGTTATAGTCCCACCACTTAAGGGGTAGTCGCCATTTGGATTTGGTCGATAGCCAGAGTCGATGCTTGCTTGGTTCACTCAAAATCGTATACTGCTTCATATTGTCATACGCCTACTATAGATTGCCTTTGAACAAATCGGAGCCAGAGACAGAACGTGCAAGACGTGGTTAAGGTTAAACGACAGGATTATGCACTCGGCTCGTCGACGACTTGGTGGTACGCGTACTCGATCCACGGCATGAGCGCTTCGAGGTCTTCCGTCTCGACGGTGGCGCCGCACCAGATACGCAGGCCCGGCGGAGCGTCCTTGTACGAGCCAATGTCCACCGCGACGTCGTTCACCTCGAGGATCGTCTGGAGCTGCTTGAGCTGCGCCTTGGACGCCTTGGGCAGCTGGAGACACACGGACGTCTTGGAGCGCGTCGCCTTGTCCTTGGCGAGGAACTGGATCCAGTCGGCGTTGGCTTCCACAAACTGTTCGATGACGTTGAGGTTCTTGGAGGCCTTGGCGCTAAGGCCCGCGACGCCGCCTTGGGCCGCGGCCCAGTCGAGCGCATCAATGTAGTCTTCGACGCAGAGCATCGAGGGCGTGTTGATCGTGCTGCCCTTGAAGAGGTCCATGCCCACCTCGCCCTTGCTGTTCTTGAGCCGGAAGATCTTGGGCATCGGGCGGTTCGTCGGCGTAAACGACGCCAAGCGCTCGAGCGCGCGCGGGCTGAGCACGAGCATGCCGTGGCCGCCCTCGCCGCCGAGCACCTTTTGCCAGCTGAACGTGCACACGTCGATCTTGGGCCACGGCATCTCCATCGCAAAGGCCGCCGACGTCGCGTCGTTGAAGACGAGGCCGGTCCGGTCGTCGGCGATCCAGTCGCCGTCGGGCACGCAGACGCCGCTCGTCGTCCCGTTCCATGTAAAGCAAACGTCGTGGTCCATGGGCACGGAGGCCAAGTCGGGAAGCTCGCCGTACGGCGCTGAGAAGGTCGCCACGTTCTCGAGCTGGAGCTCGTTGATCGCGTCGTGGTGCCAGCCCTTCCCAAAGGCGTCCCAGTAGCACATGGCGACCGGCTTGGGCCCGAGGAGGTTCCACATGGCCATCTCGAACGCGCCCGTGTCGGACGCCGGCACGATGCCGCACACATAGTCGTCGGGCAGCTGGAGCACGGCGCGGGTTTTGGCGATCGCGTCGGCGAGCACGTGCTTGCCGATCGTCGACCGGTGCGACCGGCCGAGCGTCCGCGTCGGTAGCGCCGAGAAACTGTAGCCAGCCCGCTTCTTGCACGGCCCCGAGCCAAACTGCATCGACTTGGGCTTGATCGCAGGCACGTTGAGCGGCGACGGGAGCGAGAGCGGCATGTCGAGCAGATTGACGAGCCGGACGTTGCCGAGCGCGTCCAGTTGCGCGAGCTCGTCGAGCACCTGCGACGACGGCGCGTCATCGACGTTCAGGACCCCGACGGCGTGGTTGTCGGTGCGCCCGAGGCCAAAGCAACCAATGTTGACGTGGTGTTTCGCGAGGACGGACGTGACCGCGTGCAGCACGCCGGGCTTGTCGTTGTTGGTGAAGAAGACCATGCTGCCGCTCAAAATCGCGTCCAAGCTCAGCGCGTTGTACTGCACGAGCCGGAGCTGGTTGGCGCCAAACACCGTGCCCGTCACCGTCCGCGTCGTGCCGTCGTCCAAGTGACACGTGACCGTCACGACGTTGTTGTAGTGCAATTCCTTCTCAAACATATCTTCTTGCGCATGCTCGTCGGTCGAGATACCCCGGGCGTGCACAATGTCCAGCGCGTTCTCGGCCGTCACCTCTTGCTCGAGCAGGTGGCGGCCAAGGCCCATGCACACGGACGCGCGGAGCACGTTGGGCGGGATCGCAAACACCTCCTTGCCGTGGGCCGTGACGCGGACGGTCGCGATCTTCTCCGTCCCGAGCAGCTGCGCCTGGAGGCTCCCGAGCTTCTCGGCGAGGAGAGCGTAGGGCGGGCGGATGCAGTGCTGCTGCAAGTCGAGGTTCGGCGCGTTCACAATGTTACTGTACGCTTGGCCGCGCAGCGCCGCGTCCAGTTGCGTCGAGACCGCCAGCGAGACGCGCGCCTGGGCCTCCTTCGTGCAGGCGCCAATGTGCGGCGTGCACAGCACGTTCTTGTGCTGGAAGATCGCGTGGTTCGTCGTCGGCACCACGTCGAGGCCGAGGCCCTGGATCTTCCCGCTCTCCAAGCCGTCGAGCGCCGCATCGAGGTCCATGAGGCCGCTGCGCGACGTGTTGAGGATGTAGACACCGTCCTTGCAGCGCGCGAGGCGGTCCTTGCTCAAGAGGCCGCGCGTGCCGGCCGTGAGCGGGCAGTGGAGCGAGATAAAGTCGCTGCGCGCGCAGACGTCGTGGAGCGTTGCGGGCTCGATGTCCAGTCGCGCCGCGGCCTTGTCCGAGAGGAGCGGGTCGTACGCGAGCACGTTCATGCCAAAGGCGAGGCAGCGCTTCGCGACCTGCTCGCCGACGCGGCCGAGGCCAATGAGGCCGATCGTCTTGCCGTGCACGCCCGAGATCGAGTGCTGCTGCGCGAGCGACGTGAGGAGGCCCATCGTGAGCTCTGTCGCTGCGATCGTGTTGCCGCACGGCGTGTTCATGACGAGGATGCTCGCCTTCGTGGCCGCGACGAGGTCGATGTTGTCGATGCCCGTGCCCGCGCGCGCCACGACGCGCAGCTGCTTGCCGGCCTCGATGACGTCCTTGGTCACGCGCGTGTTGGAGCGCACGATGAGGCCATGGTAGCTCGGGATCGCGGCCACGAGCTCGGCCGGCGCGAAGCTGCCGACGTCGACGTTGTAGCCTTTCGCCCGCAGCGCATCGATGCCCTGCGCGTCGATCGGGTCCGTCACGAGGATGCGCGTCTTCGTGGCCATGTGGCGGCGCGCGATTGGCGCACGCAGGGCCAGCGTCGAGAGGCGCGTCGAGGGCAGGCGCCACATCGCAAAATGAGGTTGACCTAATCGGTCGGATCTTCACGCTTGTAGTGTTTTAAACATGTGTTTCATACACCGCATGGAGCCTCATGCGCTGGTAGTGAGCTGTGCACAGTACGAGACCGCGAGCCAGAGGCGACGAGCGTAGAGGCAGTATGCAATGTATGCCATGGATCTCGCGACGGCAAGTCGTCGCAGGATGAGCGTTTGCGAGTTCTGAGGCGACCCCTGTATCCGCTTCAAGGAGGGTCTCGGAGCATACAAAGTCCAACATTGAAGTTGTGATGTGTTCAATATCCAAAACCAGAGTGATGCGCAGGATGGTTGCGATTTAGAATATTCCGACGAGGACTCGGATTGCTCAAGTATAAAGCTGCCGAGTGCAACAACCGTGTATTCCGCTGGCCACGAAAGGTGCCGAAACGCTACGTCGAGCGCCAAGCTGCAGCAGCTCGTCCTTGGATGAAGGGTGTCGAACATGGATGGCGCAGACGAATCGTCAGCACGTGGGGTTTCGCATGCTGTTTTATACACATGGGTGTTTTTTATATGAGATTCGCGGCATCTGATTGGACGCTCACTTTGCACCACAAGATCGCAAATAAGATTCCGCAAAACCTCTCAGAACATATATGTCGTGCTATCATAAAATAGAGGTGAGCCATCCTCGACCTTCCCGTACGCTATACAACAAGCTGTGGAGCTTGTAAGCTGCGTTGGATCAACGCGAATTTGGTATTCATCCAAACTACTGTAGACGATGCTAGGTGTGCATGTGAAGTAGATACATCCATGCCCTTTACATGCATGAATACGCGTCGCCTGGAGCTCGAGAAACAGGCTTCTACACCGTCCATTTCCACTCAACGCAAGCCACTGTCCCGTGCAATCTACGCTATGATACTCCTATTTCGGTTCTCGTGCCGGTAGGGATTTAACAAGACGGCGGCAGCTTTATACTGCAGGAACTACGGGGCTGCAACGCCATGCACCCAACACACGGGTCGACGAAACAAAGCATGGTGTCTTTGCCGCCATCATCTGCCAACGACAGCACCAAGCTCCAGCTTTTGCGCTGCTTTTATAGAGGTGAAGCTAGCTAGTCGCTAGCTGTGCTCGTGCACAGGCGCGACTACGCTGACCAAGAAGGCGCAGGTGATTTTTCAGCTTGATAATTCGCGATCTTGTTTTTTCACACGTGTATATTCCATGCTCACGAAAAACGCACCGCCGCGAAGGCATCAAGGTGAAAATTGTATGTCGCTTTTAAATGCCTGTATACGGAATTGATGTATCTTGAACGTTGTATGGCGCTTAGAAAGGCCATAAGGCGGCATTTTTGTCCATGCCAGAATAGCGTACCAAGAGAGCAGCTAGGATCGACCGACACAGCCTATCCAGTGCTCATTGTACGTTGGATTTGATTTACGTTTAGTTGGGGCGTGTTAGCGCAGTGCTGCCCAATTCGACAGGACCGTGGTGCACGCTTGCTGTCGGCTATGAAAAGACAGTGCGTGGTCGTGGGACACAAATCCATCCAGTTCCTCACGTGCATACAAACACCAAGCTTAAATCAATTCCCACGCCCTTTTTGAATTTTCAAATTCGTTTCGCACGTTTCTAACGGTATCCGGACGCTTATCCGGACTGTCGCACGAAGACACGAGGGGATTTTGCGTTTTACACGGCGAGAAACTGACGGGGGAAATAGCCATGATGGCCAACACGTACGCCCAAGCGGCGCAGCTCCACGTCCCGCACCCGCAGCAGCTCCACGCGCCGGCGCCGCCGATGGCCGAGAAGACCAAGGTCGGCCGCAAGCGCCACAACATCTGGGAGTACTTCCAGGAGGACGGCTCGACCAACCCGAAGCGCACGCGCTGCAAGTGCAAGTACTGCGGCCACAGCTTCTTCTCCGACTGCACGCGCATGAAGAAGCACATCATTAGCTGCACCAACTGCCCGGACGCGGTGCGCCAAGAGGTCCAGGAAGAGTTTCTGCAGCTCGAGTCCGTGGACCCGTCCGCGGGCCGGCTCAAGCGGTCAATTGCGATGACCGACCTCCCGCCGCTCAACAACTACGAAGCCGCGACGGCGCCGCCCGGCGCACCCGCGTACACATCCAAGACCGAAGCCAATGCGCCGCTTGCGTCCAAGAAGCTCAAGGTCACAACGCCGACGCTGCTCCAAAAGACGATGGGCGAGGCGGTCTGGGACTGCTTCCTCAACATTGTCAACGACCCGACAACCGAGGATCGGCTGGGCATGCAGGGCGTCAAGAAGATGGTGTCGATCTTCAAGCAAGAGGTCCACCGCGAGTCGCTCCGCGCGCTGCTCTTGCTCGCGTGCCCACAGCCCGATAAGCTGCCGTCCATCTCGACCAACCGCCCGAACGGCGCCAAGTTCATTGACGCGTACATTCGACAGCTGCAATTTGGTCTCTTCGAGACCGTCTCGGGCCCCCAAGAAACAGTCTAGTCTTTTCTGTACTCGTTGTATCTATAAATCTCAGATTGCACATAAGTTTTAGCGGTTTCAACCTTTGAACTTTCTAGTTGGACGTAAATATATATGCGCGTGTGGGCCCCGCTGCTTGCTCCGCTCACGGCGGCCTACGTCGTGCAGACACCGCTACGGGACGACAACTTTGCTTGCTGCGGCGGCTGCTCGTCGAGCGTCCGGAGCGACCAAGTGCACTTGACGACGGGCGCGCGCGTCATGCTCTGGGACACCAACGTCAAGGTGAACCCGCAGCCGCAGTGCCTTCTCACGTTCCCTTACGACCCGACGCGCGGCGAAGTAGATCATTCCTTGTGGTCCATCCGATATCAGATCTATGGTCTAGTCGCCCGGGCCCCGCCGCGTGCGCAGTGGCACGCTTGTTGGGACGACATTTCCGCTCAACCACGACGCCGATGCGCGCTGCTGCTTGAACGGCGGCACATGCACCTTATCAGAAGACGACGCCCAGGGCAAGTAAGCTGCATCATTTTGTACGAGTCGGGCGACCGCAAGGGAGCGGTGTAGGTGCAACTGCGTGCAGCCGTGGGGGTTCCGTGGCGACTTTTGCCAGCTCTCGGGTAGGTAGCCCTCTTTTTCATGAGTGACGCGCGTGTGCCTAGTGTACGACCTCGCGAGGATCGCCAACACGGTAGATGCGATGGCCCACCGTGGTCGTGCTAAGGATGCGGCGCTAGGGGGTGTACCCGCGCACGGTGAATGTGTCTGCCATGCCGATCGCGTTCCCGGATCTGCGGCCGTTTTTGTACAACTTGTCCATCCTGTCGTCCATCACAAAGTACGCGAGTTCATCGCGTAATGTGGGTCGCTCAGTCGCCGTGTAGTACGTTCTTGCCGACGACGCCGACGTCCGATATGGACGCGACGCTCGCTGCCTACCGCGCCGTGGCCTTCCAGCTCCTCATTCTCGGCCTCCTCGGCGCCTCCGGGCTCTGTATTCTCTTTGTTTTCAGCCACCTCGTGAACGCGTGCCTCAACTACTGCCGCTGCCGACAGCGTCCGTACTCGCTTTTTGAGAAGCTCGTGACGATGCTCCTCATGCTCGGCGCCGTTGTCGTCCTCGGTGCAGATGAAATATGCGTCTCGGTCGATTCTCATGCAGACGTGTAGGCGGCAGCCTCGCACAGTCGTACGCCAAGTACCAGCTCCTCGTGCAGCTCTCGTCCAACATGACGTTTCTCGTCGCCGACGCGCTGCCGGCCGACATGCTCACGTTCTACTCCAACGTACACGCTGCCCTACAGTCCTTCCAGCAAGAGACATGCTTATAGATGAATGCACCGTTGCGCGCGGCCATCGATGGCGTTCCCGGCGCCCGCATCCCCGAGCTCCAAGCCGCGCTTCGGGATCAAATGGCCCTCTACACGTCGTTGAACCAGACCGACATGCCGCAGATCTTCGCGTCGACGACCGCGCCCTTGGCAGCGCTCGCGCTTCCATTTCCAATCGCATCTTCGTACGGAGAGCCCGCGTGCGCGAGCATGGTGATCTACCGCACGTCCAGCAGCATCATGGGCGTCGGAGGCGCCACGGGCTGTTTTGGCTGCGACCAGTGCGTCGCCATTCGCAAGACGTGGGACATGCGACTCGACCAACGTCTTGGATCATCTTTTTGTGCGTAGCATTCAAAGCATCCAGCTCGACTGGCTGCGCGGTGTCTCCGTGGTGCACTGGATACTGTACGCGAGCCATGCCAACCTGATCACGTTTGCCGAGCTGCCGCTGCTCCCGGCGCTCGTCGACCTCTCCGTCTCGCTCAATCACACGCTGGCCGACGTCCAGCGCGTCAATACCCACCAAGCGCGCATGCTGGCCACCCTCGTACGTCTCCTGGTTTCTTGTAGACGCCAACACTTTCCTAGACAAACGAGCTCAAAATGCTCATTCAGCCGGGCGTCTTTATCGTCTATGGGCTCTCGAGTCTCGTCGCCCTGCTCGCATGCGCGGCGGCTACGCGCGGCTTTTGGCGTCGGAAAGGCCGTCTCGGGAAGCTCGCGAGCTACACGGCACAGCTCGCGACCCTTGTCGGTACGCGAGGCGTTGCTCTCTTGCGGCATCTGAGAGAAACGTAGCGTGTGCGATGACTGGGATTCTGTGGACCGTCTCCTTCTGCGCGCGCGATGGTCTTGCCTACCTCGATCGCATCGAAGCCAACATGTCGGAGCTTTTTCTTAACACCTCGTCTCGCGATGGTAGTCGACTTGTAGCGCGTGAGGCCATGCGTTTTATCGACTGCTAGATGCCATCAACCTCCTACAGGATCGGTCGTGGGTCGCAAACCGGTCGTTGCTTTCGGTCGCGAATATTGATTTCATTTTCGCGCCTTTTTCTCATTGTCGCTGTAGCTCTTGGAGTGCGCAGACGTCGTCAAGGTGCCGCCCCTGCCGACGCCCGACACGGGCCTGGCCCCGCCGCCACGGTACAATATGACGCATCTGTTTCTATTCCCCGACTTTTCCGCGCTGGCGACGCTGGTATCTTTTCATGGTACTATGACAATATTGGACATGCTACGGCGCCTAGTTTAATAGCTCGGACCCGAGTCGCGTCACCTCGCTCTTTGGGTGGGACGAGAGCTACGTCACGCTCGCCCACCGCGCCTTGCACGTCCTTTTGTTTGGCAACACGACCGTGCCGTCCCCGTACGCGTCATCGAACGACACGCGCGTCACCACCTTCACGACCGACCCGACCCGCGACGGAGTCTTCAACGCCTCGGACGTCCAGCTCATGGCGTCGCTCTACGCCCAAAACTGGTCGACGCTGACGTACAACGAGTCCCTGCGCCAAAATACGTTCTTACTCCAGCAGTGGACGTGGTGCAGCGAGCTCGAGGTCGCGCGGGGCCGGCTCGTCGCCTACATGGACAGCGTCGCCGCCGTCGCGCTGCAGGCGCGCCCGCACTTGGCGGCGATGCAAGCCAACACGAGCGCCCTCGCGACGCTGCAGTACCCTTTCCAGTCCTCGGTGAGCTTTTACACATCGACGCTGCAAACGTTGAAGCTCGCCGACTGTTCGTACGCCGGCAACTGCGGTACCCTCGACGCCCGCGATGACGTTGATCGATCTATTTGTCTAGCGTGGATGCGTCAGCGCTGGAACGAGCTCCATATCGAGCTCCACGCGCTCGGCGCCGCCGCCGACGAGATGACACTGCTCTTTGCGATTGCGACGTTGGCGCTCTGGACCGCGTCGGTCTTTGCCTACTGCTTTGGCGTGCGCGTGCACAAGCCCAAGGTCCGCGTGTACGTCGCTGCGTAGATACGACAAGCAAAGCTCTTCCACCACGTGTTTACAGGTGCGTTGGTCGTGGAGGGAGGTTGGGCACGCAGTGCATCTTGAGCGCTGGCACGGACACGACGCGGCGCTCCTACGACGTCCATAGGAGGGTGCAAAAGTGGGGAGGCATCGCACCGGGAGGATCACAGCGCTGAGCTCGCGGCCATAGCAGCAGCCCGTGTCGAGACCCAGAGCATGCGCGCACTCCTAGATATGGGGATGGTACCCTGCCCATGGAGATACGATGCAATCGTGCACCTGAAGCCCGGCCTTGGCGTCGTGGCCAAACACGATGAACGGAGGTCCTTTGTACTGAGGCGCCCAGAGCCCGCCTGTCTCGGGCTTGGCCTCGGACGCGGCCCACGCTTCGCCAGCCGAGCTCGGAGGAATAAGGTACCGCATCTTGTAGAGGTCCTTGGGCAATTGCTCCTCGAGCGCGACGTTCGGGACGACGCCAGCGTGCACCACCAGCGTATCGAGCTCGGGCAGGGCGATCGAGAACGGGAGGTTCTCGAGAAACGCAATGTCGTCTGGCGAGAGGTCAGCCACGTAGTCGTATCGCGTGTCAAAGGCAGCGGCGGCCGTCTCGGGCGTCCCGGTCTGCCGACCGTAGTAGGCGCTCAGGGCGGCGTCGTCGTGGTTGCCGCGGACGCAGAGAGCGCCGGTTGTGCGAACAAACCGGACAGCCTGGGCCGATTGCGGCCCTTTGTTGACGAGGTCGCCGACGAAGATGAGCACGTCGCGGTCCGGCGAGAAGGCGCAGGCAGCGAGGAGCAGGTGGACCTCGTCGAGGCAGCCATGGACATCGCCCACGATCACGACACGCGCGCCGGTAGGGACGTGGTGTGTCTACGGCTCATTAGCCCCGCGCCAGAGACAGGTAGCATGACTCACAGCATGGAGCGTCCGGGGCAGGGCCACGTCGGGGTGCGCTGGCAGTCGCGCGGCCATGACGTCAGCTGGCTTATACGTGGCACATGCCATCTTTCTACGGTGGCAACGCCGCGTTTAGCGTGGCTTTCGGCATCCGAGGTACTTGTTTTCGGCATGTGCCATGGATGAGAGGGACAAATCGGTTTGTCCCAAGAGAATTCGACCAGAATTCCACGCCTGTCGTCCGTTGTGTCGACGATACATGGTTCTCACGCAGTAGGCCGTAGCACGCTAGTTCTTTTACAGCGTCGGCGGATGGACATGGTGGTGGGAGGAGTGTATTGAAGCATTTTACTAGTACCGGTAGTATAGACGTCTACTCGAACAGACACTCGGCGGAGATGCTCCCTGGAGATGCCCTGGAGATGCTTACATGACGTGGCACCGCCCTCGACGTCGGACTCAACAGGACGATGTGAGATACTTGCCAGCCGCGCGGATGTCCCAAAGATACATACCAGTACGTCGCACGCTGCTGGTTTGCGCTGCTTGGGTGCGCAATGGACACGCTCGTTCGCCGAAGCTTCAATGCGTCGGCTGCCGCTCGTGGTCCTGCAAACATTATTGTCTTCTTCCAAGAACGTGCGGTCCGCGTGCATCCTCCTCTACGATCTGATCGCCCGCGGTGTGTAACTGCCGGCCGACTTGGTGGTTGCGTCGGTGATTTTACACCAAGCAAAAAGTGGGGGTCACCGGCATCAATAATGGCTCGGACTCGACTCCTCGGTGAGCTCCGTCGTATCCTCCCAGCGCAAACTGTTGTGGGCTGTAGACTGTCGACGCGACGGATGGGGAAGCTCTCGCTGGACGCACCACGCCGTCTCGGGCAAAGGGCAACTAGTGCCGCCCGCCTCGTCGCCGGCAGGTTGTGTCTGGTCACATTTGACGGCGAAACGGCGCCTCTTCCCATGAATTCGACGGAACATTAGAGGCGGCTCGACCCCCGTCACATCATCCAGCGCCTTCCAATCGCGCTTTCTGGTCTACTTGATCTTTCCAAGCACGCTGTCGAGAGGAACTTGGTGGTGGTGGATGAAGACGAATACGCTGATGCGGTGGATCTGCACCCAAAACGAGTCTTCGTCCCTGTACAAAATATTGACTTGGTTTATGTATGCAAGAGCATCGCGCTGGATTGCGCAACCCCACCGCCTGCTTCCAGTCACCTTCTCACTTGCCTTTTACACCGTGTGGTATGTGTATCACGCACCCGCTGGCGATGCTTCTCGGGGTCGTCGCTGCACATACAGTGTAGGTTTCAAGGCCACGCGCGCCACTCGTTTGCCTTGCCGACGCCGCAATCCCCCACCGTACAGTACGACTCTTCGACGGGCATCCATCGCTGGCGATGGATAATAATCAGCTTGTGGCTGGACGGCAGATGCAGGCGAGCACAGCGTGTCATCTTCAACATACGCTTCAAGAACCAAGCATCAAGCAAGGCTGTGAGACAGTGGAGACGAGTAGCCAAAGCAAAGCGCTATAAAAGAGACAACCCTCTGTACAAGGGCCAAGTGATTTAAATCCGAGCGCGAAACAGCCTCAGTTTGCGGCGTAACACTGTCCATCCCACACCCACTTCTGCGACCTAATAAGCTCATCATCCTCGTGCTCGAAGCATCTCCTCCTCCGAGTTGCCCTTGCTGTGGCCATCAACTGGCGCAGCCGAGACGGCGTGTTGAAGGCAGCGGACCCCTCCTCCCAATAAGAATACCTTCTTATTTAAAATAATATATATATCGCGCGCCCTGTCTCGGTGCGAGTCGAATTAAAACACTCGGCATTTAAATGCCATAGCAAAATCAGAAACGGGTTTCTTTTTACCATGTCGCAGGCCCCACCGATCACATACAATTCAGAAGTCAACAGCGTCCGGATAATGTGCCGGATACCAAAAAGCCAGTCATGTTTTATTTAATTGCGCTGGGATAGAGGGTAATAAAATACAACTTGACGGACGATTGCCATCGGAGGGTCATTAAGCAATCTGCCCGGAAGCACGCAAATGGACGACTACAGCTACCAGCACGCGCAGCGCCGCTCGATGAGCATGTACGAGACGCCCGTGTACAAGCGGGCGTCGCTGCCGTCGCTCGCCTCGATCGACTCGACCAAGTCGGTCCACCACCCGATGGAGAACACGGGCTCGGCGCCGATCCCGATCCCGTCGTTACGCCCGGCGTCGACGCCGTCGGCGCTCCCAAGCTTGGCCTCGTACTCGCCTGGCTACACCAACTCGTACACGTCGACGGCCTCGTCGTCGTTCTCCGAGTCGGTCGCGCTACCGAAGCTGCGCTCGATGAGTCTCGGCGAGTACATTCCGCAGCGCCGCGAGCCCACGACGCCGCCTTCAATGCACGCCTCGAGCTACCAGGACCCGCACGAGATGCACCGCTACATGCACCAGCGCCAGATGGAGCCCGACGTCATGCGCTTCAACCAGATCAAGACCGAGATGCACCCGTCGAACGGCTTTCGCCCGATGCCGACCACCGCGTTTGGCTCGTTTGAGACCCCCGCCGAGGCCAAGTATATGCCGCGCCCCGACATCCCGCTCTCGCGCAGCTGGAACCCGAGCAGCTACATGACGCAGAACCCGGTCCAGCAGCGCTCGGTGCCCACGTTTAGCTTTTCGCCGCAGACGAGCGCGAGCTGGAGCCCTGCGTCGACGATGCTCCAGAACGCGGTGCCGCAGAGCGCGTCGTCGGACGACGACGAGCAGCCAGACGAAGAGAGCGACCCGATGAACCGCGGCTCGGGCCGCGTGTGCCGCACCAAGTCGTGCAAGAACGTCGCGCGCTCCAAGGGCCTCTGCCGCAGCCACGGCGGCGGGAAGCGCTGCACGGAGCCCGGCTGCACGAAGAGCGCGCAGGCCAACAAGAAGTGCATTGCGCACGGCGGCGGCACGCCGTGCTCGTTTGAAAACTGCGACAAGACGGCGCAGTCCCGGGGCCTTTGCAAAGCTCACGGCGGCGGCGCGCGCTGCAAGTTCCCGAGCTGCCCCAAGTCGAGCCAGTCGCGCGGCTTTTGCCGTGGCCACGGCGGCGGCGTGCGGTGCAAGGCCGACGGCTGTGAAAAATGGGTCCAGCGCAACGGCTTTTGCATCAAGCACGGCCGCGAGCAGAACTAAAGCGGCTCGTCGGTGTCGGTGTCGCGTGGGTGTGTCTTAACTTAGTCGTTGTTTAGTAGCATGGATGAATCAATAAAACAGAAGTAGTCGTAGTAGATGTCATCTTCCTCTCGCGTCAGTACAGCGGTCTCCTTGGTGACAAGGAGACCGAACGAGGTGCGTACCTTACGTACGGTAGCCGACGCGACCACGCAGCCGCGTGGCTGGGACATGCTGTCGGTGGTTGGAACACCCCTGGACCGATGCTGGCCCGATTGAGACAGGCGATCGACGTGCGTTTTATACGTTAAAGCCCACGTGGCGACCTGCGCGCGCGTGCGTTAAGCCCTTTGGCGCCTTCTGGAACGGGGAGCGTAAAAATAGCATGCCATCCTACACGGTAGACGCGTGCCGGCCCATCTTCCTCACCGCGTGCGACGTCCCGGAGACGGACGATGATGGCGGCTTCGACGTGCATCCACCTGCGAACGACGTGACGCAGCGCCTCGCCCTCCTCGCGCTGCTGCAGTCGCCCCGACGCGACGAGCCGCCGCCCAACCAGCACCACGTCCAGGTTCAAGCACGCTTCTCGTACATCGAGCACCGGTATGGCACACGACCCGCGCAGCCAAAGAAGACCAACAAGCGAACGCTGGCGCGGCTCGCCAACCCGATCTTGGGCCACACGTCGACGCTCAACGCGCTGCCGCCAGAGCTCCGCAAGAAGCGCGCGCCGCTGCACGCCGAGTACAACGACGACCCGCGTGTCGAGCAAGTCAAGCGACCGCTTCTCAAGGCTACCGCCAAGCCCAAGCGACTGGTCAAGCTCCCGATTCATGTCAAAAGCACGCTCAGCCGCGACCTCAAGGTCGTCAAGCCGGCGCCGAGCTGCTTTGGGACGCAGCAGCTAGCGTCCAACCACGTGCCCAAGCGCAAGCCCACGAAACAGACTGTGGCGCGCGCGCCAGCGCCAAAGGAAGAGCGCCGCAACTTGAAGGAACCGTCGCGAGCGGCCAAAGGTGTCAAGCCCGACGGCAGCGAGAAGAAGCCGGTGCGCAAGCCGACGGTGCTCCCACCGCTGCGCCCCGCCGGACCTCCGAAGAAGACATCGTTTCGACGCGTCTAGCCGCACGCTCCTTTTAGTATTTAACCCTCCCACGCCTTCTCAATGCAATGCGTACATCACTGTTTACAGCTCGACAAGTGCACGTAGCGAATGGCGGCAATGAGGTTGGCGTCCAGCTCGGCGCGTACCTTCTGGAGCTCCTTGTCGCGCGACGCTCGCAAGTCGCGCAGCTGGTCGTCGAGCGCAGCCTTGGATTCGGCCACCAATGCCTCCTCGAATGCAGTAGCAGTGCCAACCAGTGACGGACTGCGCACTGCAGATTTGCTCTCGGCCGTGGCCGTGGCCTGCAGCGCCCGCCACTGTGCGCGGTGCTGCTCGTGGGCCCGTTCGTGCACGCGCGCGCGGGCGTGTAGCCGCCGCCGGTGTTTGATCAGTGCGCGCCGCAGCGGCTCCCAGTGCCGGCGGCGGAAGAGAAACCCGCGGACGAGTGCTTGCAGGCGCGTGGCGACCACTGCGCGGCGGCGCGCCTCGGCCACCTCCCGTACGGCGCGCCATCGTTGCGCTTCTCTCGCTTCCGCGTCGCGCGCGAGC